ACCATATTTGTGTCACAAAAAAAAAATTTGGTAGGACTTTTTGACTTCTTTTTCCCAATAGTTTATATGGTATTGGAATTAATTGTTTTTTAAATGTTTGTGAATCCATCTGGCCCTGGAGATAACTTTTCTTAGGGAGTTCACTGGTGGCTTGTTCAATTTCTTTTTCTAAAATGTAGTTATTTAAGCATTTTATTTCTTCTGTTAATCTGGGCAATTTATATTTTTGTAAATATTCACCCATTTCACTTAGATTGTCAGATTTATTGGCATACAGTTGGGCAAAGTAGCTCCTAATTATTGCTTTAATTTCCTCTTTATTGGTGGTGAATTCACTCTTTTCATTTTTGATACTGGCAGTTTGCTTTTCTTCTTTTTTTAAATCAAATTGACCAAAGGTTTATCAATTTTATTGTTTTTTTTTCATAAAACCAGTTCTTAGTTTTATTTATTAGTTCAATAGTTTTCTTTCAATTTTATTAATCTTTTGATTTTCAGAATTTCTAATTTGGTGTTTAATTGGAGATTTTTAATTTGTTCTTTTCCTAGTTTTTTTTTTAGTTGCATGCCCAATTCATTGATCTGCTCTTTCTCTGTTTTATTCATGTAAACATTTAGATATTTAAATTTCCCCCAAATACTACTTTGGCTGCATCTGATAAATTTTGATATGTTGTCTCATTGTCATTCTCTTTGATGAAATTGTTGTTTCTGTGATTTGTTGTTTAACTCACTCATTCTTTAGGTTTAGAGTATTTTATTTCCAATTAATTTTTAATCTATCTTTCCATGGCTTTTTATTACATGTAGTTTTTATTGCATCATGATCTGAAAAGGATGCATTTAATATTTCTGTCTTTCTGCATTTGTGAGGTTTTTATGCCCTAATACATGGTCACTTTTTGTGTAGGTGCTGTGTACCACTGAGAAAAAGGTATATTCCTTTCTGTCCCCATTCAGTTTTTTCTGGAGGTCTGTCATATCTAACTTTTCTAAAATTCTGTTCATCTCCTTAATTTTTTTCTTGTTTATTTTGTGGTTAGATTTATCTAGTTCTGAGAGGGGCAGGTTGAGTTCCCAACTAGTATAGTTTACTGTCTATTTCCTCCTACAACTTATTTAACTTTTATTTTTGAAATTTAGATGGTATACCATTTGGTGATTATGTTTAGTATTGACATTACCTCCTTGTCTGTGGTACCTTTTAGCAAACTGTAGTTTCCTTCCTTGTCTCTTTTAGTTAGATCTGTTTTTGCTTTTGCCTTGTTCTGAGATCATGATTGTTCCCCCTGCTTTTTTTAATTTCAGCTAATGTGCTACAGCCTTTTACCTTTATTCTGTGTGTGTCTCTCTGTTTCAGATGTGTTTCTTGTAAACAGCATATTGTAGGATTCTGTTTTTTAATCCATTCTGTTAACACTTCTGTTTTATGGGAGAGTTCAACCCATTCACATTCACAGTTATGATTACTGTGTATTTCCCTCCATCTTACTTTTCCCCTTTTTGTACTTTTCTCTCCCTCTTTACTTTCCCCTTGTCCCTGCTCACCAGTGTTTTGCTTTTGACCACCTCCTCCCTCAATCTGCCCTCCATTCTGTCAGTCCCTCCTCCTTTCTTTTTTCCTTTCCCTCGTACTTCCCTATAGAGTAAGATATATTTCTGTCTTTTATATGTTTGTATGTTATTCCCACTTTGAGCCAAATCTGATAAGAGTAAAGTTCAAACAGTGCTTGTCTTCCACCCCTCTCCTGTAATAGATCTTTTGTAGATAGAATTTTGCTCCATCTTTTTGTGGGTTCTGTTGTTCCAGAATTCGTTTAGAGGCTTGATTTAACATTGTTTCTGAGGGAAACTGGGGAGAGCTTGGGAACTTCCTCTCATTTCTCTGCCTTCTTGGCTCCTCCTCCTGCTTTGGTAGATCTTTAGACAAAAGGCACACAGTTGTAATCTGAAAGTTTTTATTTTTCTTTTTAAAAATTTTAAGTAACCATCAAACTGTGTTGGAAGAACTGGCAAGAGTCGTATGCAGGCAATTTGGAAAATAGAATCTATTGTAAACTCTGAGTTACTGTCATTCTCAAAGTATAGCACAGCAGTAATATAGGATGACACTACTTTATATATTAGTTGCTTTCCTTCAAAGTTATTTGTGAAACAGATATTTGCAGAATGAATCTTATTTTCATGTTGACTTCCATTATATTTTTAGTCTCTATTTGTAATAAAATCACTGAAAAAAACCCTGATATTGACATAATTTTAGTAAGTTTAAAATTTTAAGCTACGGTGAGGACTATGTTGGAAGCTAGTTTAACTTTTAAAAAATTTTTGCAAGATGATTGCTGATACAGAATGTAATCTACTTCTATTATGAACATTAAATATAATCTTAATAATATCAAATGACATTCTTAATGCTTTGGGGCAGAGATGTGTGTGTGTATAACTTTCTGCTTAGGAGTTCCTATGAAACTATTGAAATAAAGAAAAATGGAAGAAGTCTCAGCATCAGTGAAACAAAGAGCATTAGACATTATTTAATTTCTTATATGTGGTTCTGTGGTGATGTTGACAGATTTGTGACAAACTTGTTCAGTGACCAGTGGAATACTGCATGGGGTGGGACTTGGAGGATTGGGAAGTATGCTGAATCATATCAATCTTGGACATTTTTGCAATCCATTTGCATTTATATCCAGAGACAACAAAAAGCATGTTATGGGATATCTGGTCATCTTATTCACAGTATTCGTGATAAGTATTTGTAGTAAGTCCACCATGAAAATAAATGCAGCTTATGTGCCATCATCAGTTGCAAAATATGAAGAAGTAGAAGGATTCTGTGAAGAATTTGATAAGATTCACCAAATTAAATCACCATGTATTCTGATGTGTGGTAGATAACTTCACAGCAAAGGTGGGAAAAGGTGAAAATCGTCAGAAATATATGGGAAAGTGTAATTAATGAAAAAGGAATGAGAAAAGGTCAACAACCACCCTGAAGACAACTAATGCCTTTATATCATGAATGCCTCAAGAAAAGATTTAATAGCACTTGACAAGACAGGCAACAAATAACATTGCAGGAAAAAAAAATAGATTATATTTCAAACTGACAGGAAAAGACTTGTTATTTATGTGGGAGATATCCCTGAATCAGCTCATTTTGTATAATGAGACCTTTGAATTGTCAGGGCAAAGATCATCATTAATAAAACACAAGAAGAAACATCAGCTACTAATTTATATGCTTACTCTCCCATCATTTTACAAGTCTTCTATATACAGATTAAGGGCATTGGCATCCAAGATGAAGTTATTAGTAAGAAATACAGGCTTTTGCAAGTGATGTTAAATTACAGGCTACATCTTTACCGTTTTACCTTGTGGGTGGTATTCCCAGGGAGTTTGTTTGCCTGCCACTGTCATTCTGTATAACTCCTTGTAAGAATTTGGACCTTTTGAACTTTTCTGATGCTTAGTTTGTGGATGGCTATGCCTGTTACAAGCTTAGTGTCTCCTTCTATTCTCCACCAAGTTCAGCTCATTCTCTGATAAGTCTCTGAGGGATGGGAAACCTAGGCTCTTCTTACAGTGAACTATTACTGTGAGTGGTTGAGAACCTAGATGATCAACGGCTGGTCAACGGCTGATCCTTGTGGCATAGATTAACTTCTTATTAACACTTATCATCAAGCAGTTGTTCCTTTGAGTGAAATAATGCTATGGACAGACTCTTTCCTTATGGCTATCTTTCCATCATATTCTTTGATCAAAGAACCCATCTTGACTCTGGCATCGTACAGGATATTCTCCTCAATGTCATGTCATCGTTTTTTTCCTGAATGGTTTAGGCAAATCACTTCTGAATGCCAAGGAACGCTTGGCAGTTGAGGGAGGAATAGTGGACACTGACCATATGGATGGGAGAAAAGGGGTTGGACTGGGGCAGAAGGTTTGTTGTCTAATTAATCCTTTTGCCTAGTCCATGGATAAAAGTAAAAGGATGGGCAGTGGGACTTCTGGAGAAATTTGACCATCATTATGTTTTGTTTAAGAGAGTGTGATTTCATTCACCTAGGGAGCAGATGTCCCTGAGTGGAAAGTAGCAGCCCGGTAAATGGAGAATACTGAATGGATAGTGGAGTGACGAAAGGGGAGAAAATATGTCAGACCAAGGGACATAATGTTTATGTATTAGAAATTTATCATCTTGTGGCTAGCCTTCTCCAAACTTAGCTAGGTTTGCCCATTTTGCTAGGCTAGTAGATGATAACGGATAAATAGTTCATTGCCAGAAAGTGTTTAAAAAGCTCTGAATTACAGTCACTGCCTTAATTTTGGTGTTTGTTATACTTTATCTATAATGACAATATGGTTCCATATGTAGTACTTTTAGAATAAATTATATAAATATTAACTTATTTTAAGCCTGTTAGAATTAAACATTCATAGAATATGCTCATAAATTTAGGAGAGTATTTAATGCTAGGAAAACATTTTAAAAATCAGATTGTTTTAGTTTTTATACTATGTATGAAGTTATGTGTATCTCTATACTTGAAGGTTCGTTAAGAATTGCTTGCCTCTCATTTTATCATCAATTCTTACCCTTATAAACACATTTGATCTCTATACAGTGCCACTTTTTCAGGGTAGATGGTATTTTGAAAGACTGTGCTTAACTGACAGTATATAAGCTGTACTTCCCTTCTGTTTTTCCTTGAATCTCTTTAAATATATAAATGGTTTTTAATTGTTTGAGAGTTTAATATGTCAGATAATAATATGGGAAGAGCTTAGAACCAAGAGAGAATGATTGTTCTATAAGGTCAGTTAATTGGATTACCTAGCTCCAACGAGAACAAAAGGTCCCCTCTAGTTGGAAGATATACATATATATGTGAGTGTGTGTGTGAGCATTTTTTTTTTTTAGGTTCAGTGCTCTATGGATCCAAACTTTATGCTACCTTTAAGATTTCATTCTTTTTCTTACTTAGTCTTCCCAGTATGTTCAGTGTGTTGCTGGATGTCTTCAGTTGATGCTTCGTGTTAATGAATATCGCTTTGCGTGGGTAGAAGCTGATGGGGTTAACTGGTGAGTATCTTTTTGTTTGTGAAAGAAAGTGACATTTTAAGCATATAAGGCAATTTTTGCTAATAATTTTCAGGGAAACAGGTCCAGTTAAACTTCTAGAATATTGGTTTCATTTTCATGCTTTTTTCAATTCTCTTCAACCAGTATTTGTTATTTATCTTCTAGGCAATTTGTCCATGTGTTTTGAAACTAGAGAGAGAAAAGATGAATAGCTGACATTACCCACTCAACTATAATACAGATTAGGCAATGAATACCAAAGTGAAGGTCATACAAAGTTCTATGGGAAACTGAGGAAGGAGCATACACTTTCAGCTGTATGTGAAGGTTAGATAAGGTAGAACCTGAATTGGGGGTTTTAGTAGAATGAAGCTCAATATAAATCAACAGTGTGACATTATAGCATCCAGAGATAAAGGTATCATAGTCTGCTTTGAACGAAGCATAATGTGTATTATATTCTGCCCCAGTCTAGACTACTGTGTTCATTTACGGGCACCATATTTTTTGAAAGACATAGACAAGCAACAGTTCATCCAGAAGAGTGCACCTAACATGAAGATTAGCTAGATGAAATCGAGGTGTTTGGCCTGGAAAGGGACTATGCAGAAGAGAACCTGACAACTATCTTCAAATCATTAAGCATACTTGATATATGTACCTACTATGTGCCAAGCAATGTGCTAGGTGCTAGGGATTCCAAAATTGTTATGTTATAAGATGAGTTAGACTGGTTCTGTTTGACTTCAGAGGGGGCAGAATTAGGAGCATTGAGCAGAAGTTGGCAGGAGGCAGATTTAGATATGATACAAAGAAAAATTTTCCAACATTTAGAATGTTCCTGAAGTGAATGAGTTGTTTTGGGAGGTAATAATTTCTCCATAGTTTATAGGGTCATAGATTTATTGGAGCTTGAAGAGAGACCTGTAGAACCTCTCTAGTCAAACTGCTATTTTACAGGTGAGGAAGTTGAGACACAGATTAAGTTAAATGGCTTTCACAGGGTCACAGAGTCTGAGGAGCGATTTGTACACAGTTCTTCATAAGTCTCAAGTCCAGTACTTTGTCCACTATGGTTTGTTGCTTTCAAATGGAGATGAAAGACCACTTGATTAAAGTATTGTAGAAGTGGACTAAATGGCCTGTGAGGCCCCTTCTGGTTGCTGAAATTTGATGGAAGGGAAACATTTAAAAAGCAGAGGTGGGATTTTAAGGGCACAGAGGCATAATTAGAATGGAGGGTCAGCATCAAGTCTGTTTTGGCTGGAATGCAGAATGGGTGGAGATTAATGTAAGGTGAAGTAATAGACTGGAATGGTAGACTAGAGCCAGGTTTACCAGAGTCTTGAAAGTTAGGCATTTAAAGAGTTTTTATTGTTGTTTGTCCTTCATATTCATCACTTTTTTTTTTTGGTAGGTACTTGGTAACCATTTTTTGAGAAGGGGAAAGGAGGACGTGATTACAAAATATAGGATGGTGTGAAGTATGAGCTGAAGTGAGAGTAGAGGTAGGAAGACTGATTAAGAGGAAATGAAATCCTGAACTAAGGTGGTAGAAGTGAAGAATTGGCGATAGATTAAATATCTTTTTCACAAGTAGAAACAATAAGAACTGGCATGTGACTGAAAGTAGAGGAAGAGGGAGATTGAATGTCAAAGGTAACTCCAAGGTTTCAAACTTGAGTGATTGGAAAATGTCTGTAAACTTAAAATGAGGGGCAGGTTTTTGTGAGAGGATGAGTTTAGTTTTCAACACGAAGCTTGAAATGCAGTAGGACATATGTTTAGTTGGTAGTTGGAAATTCAGAACTGAAACTCTTGGGAAGAAGTTGAGAGATGGAGATTGGTCAGTCATTTACAGAGATCTGATAAGTGAAGCAGTGAAAGTTGATGAGATTACATCTCTTCCAGGGACAGACAGCTAGGTGACTGTATTGCTGCACGTGGTCAGCAGTCTGTGTTGAGATACTTATATAAGTTTAGGGGAGAGGGCACTAGAAAGCAGTGAGGGAGCCAGGATCCTGGGTTTTTTAACCTTGTAACTGTCCCTGTTTCCTAGACTGAGTCTAGGGAGGGAACACAATTTGAGGCTGGAACTCAAACTGGCCTTCAATAAGTGGGCTCTTCACTGTTTAATCTTTATTGCTGACAAGGAGGGAAAAAACTGTGTGAATATAATTCGTGATGATTTGTTTTATTAGCTATCGTACTTAAATGTGGTTTTCCTTTGTTTTTTAACTTACCATAATTTTAAAAATATGTTTATTTTTTAGTATAATGGGAGTTTTGAGTAACAAATGTGGCTTCCAACTCCAGTATCAAATGATTTTCTCAATATGGCTACTGGCATTTAGCCCTCAAATGTGTGAACATCTTCGTCGATATAACATTATTCCTGTTCTGTCTGATATCCTTCAAGAATCTGTTAAAGAAAAAGTGACTAGAATCATTCTTGCTGCATTCCGGGTAAGTCTTTTGATTGTGGTAACATTGTGATATTACTGAATCTCACAGCTGGAAGGGACCTCAGGGAATGATTTAGTTCAATCTATACCTTAAACAAAAATCCCCTCTGTAACCTGCCCATTAAGTGGTCAGCTAGCATTTTGTTGGAGACTTCCAACTGGTGATGGAGAACTATCACCTCTCAGGGGCAAGCTGTTCCACTTTTGTATAGATCTGATTGTAATGAAAGAACAGAATGGAAGAAAATAAAAATATACAGAACATATTCCTCATCATGTGGTTCCTATTTTTTTAATCCCAGTACTTGATTTCAAATTTGATGTGTTGAAAGTTCTTTTTGAGGAGAAAACAAAATGCAGCACTCTTTAGTTGGAAACAACTTATTAAAAAAAAGTCCATCTTAACTCTATTACTTTTTTTTTTAGAGATCCTAAAATATTCATGATTAAGTCATTTATCTAAGAATCCACTTTAGATTCATTGTTTTCAAAGGATAACAGTTTTCTTTTTCACTGAGGTAGAATGAATGATATTGCTTTTTAATTGACTTCCTTTATTTCTTTATGGATATTAGTTTTGTTTATTTTGCTAACAATAGTTATAATATTTAAAGAATGGGTATAGTATGCCACAAAATTATTTGAGATCCGTTTTTAAAAGAGAAAATTTAGTTGCTAGAAAGAGCATTGGAGTCAGGTGATCCAAGTTTTATTCTGCTTCTACTGAACCACAGTACAAAATCATTTAACCTATGCCTGTTTTTCTCATGTGTATGGTTGGGAGAAGAGTTCGTAAAGCTGTTGAAGATTAGATAGGTTTAAGTGCTCTGAGCTTTTAGGAGTGAGAGTTCAGACAAATACAAAGAAGTATGATTATTTTAAGTGATGGCTACAGAATTACACTGCCCAAGCCATGTCAACACACTAGAAAATTTAAGAGTTTCTCAAAAAGTAAATCTTACTGCTTTGCAATTTTTTTTCTGTACTTTTTTTTAAAAGCTTATTCTCATGCCTTTATTTTAGAAAATAGTTATGTAGTATAAAGAGATTTAGAGATGTCTAAAATTGGATATGCTAAGCAAGAGAAATGTTAAATCTCTTGTTTGAGTCATAGCTTTAAACATGATTCAATTTTTGTTTGACTGTCTTGACAGGTCTACTGTAAAGCGTGCTTTTTGAAATGGCATGGTTAAAAAAGACAAAAGGTTATGTATGACAGGCTTATGGTCTTTCATCTGAAGTGACTTGAAAGAACCTTTCTCTCCCTTGGGGGAATATTAGTAATGAAGATTAAAGGTGAAGAGGATAAGGGACACAGCTTTCTCCTCATTTCAGTCTTTCCACATATTAAAGTATGACTGCTACTCATGTGGCTAGTCAAGGATTTTAGCTTTACTTTATCTCATAATCTTGACATTTTGCTTGTAATAATTTTAATGTGCATAGCAGTTTAAAAATATTTGAATTATACCAGAATTAATTTAATTAAATTGTAACCTTGGCATTTAACATGAGCCATATTGTTTTTGTCACATTTGTAAACAGATCTAAACCTGGATTCAAGACTATTTAAGTGACTACACTCAATACACTGGGAGGCAGTGTATTGTAACACAAAGAACATGGCAGTGGATATCAGGATATTTGGATATTTGGAGATTTGGAATTTTGGATCCAAGTTGGCCACTAACTTCTTGTACAGCTTTGAGAATGTCATTTAATTGGTCTGGGCCTGTTTTCCCAACTGCAAAAAGGAGATAAATAACTTAATGATCTCTGAGGTCTATTCTGTCTCTAATATTTCATTAGTTCTATAATTTTTGTTTTTGTGAAAGGCATTTAAGTCAATAGATCTTAAGTCTCTTCTGCTAAATATGGGATGATATCTCATATGCCCTGAGATATAAAGAACCCCCTCCTTTTTTTTTGCCTTCCTTCTGTTCTGAATATCTGTGGGCAGGATAAAGCTTTGATACTGAACAGTAATAGATTGTTATCTAGTTAGAGGCCATGCACTAGGATAAAATAGGTACATTAATTTTTGTCATTCTGATATCCTTCTAACTTTTAAAAAAGACCCAATGGGGAGCCTCATTGAAATTAGTCTACTCTTGTATTCTGTACTGCATCCTGAATCTTAGGAAAACTTTAATGCTAAAGAATTTAGTGAGCCTGCTAATCTGCTATAAGTTGAATGAATTAAGTAGCTGTTGACTTTTTAAAAATTAGCTGGACACATTCTTTTCTTTTGGGAAATATCAGTTATTCTTAGCAGCATTAGGTCTCTGTAAACTTTCTAAGACTTGGATTATATTTGGATTGATTAGTCATTCTTTAGCACCCAAAATAAATTAGAATGTTGACAAGATATAACAGATAAAGTTAGTAATGTCCCTCTATTGTTTAGAACCTTATACCTACTATAATTCTTCATTCGATTTTCTTCAATATTAGTAAGCTCATAAACTTAAAATGACCACTAAGTTAAGTGAACAAGTTGTTATATATTTACTATGTGTCAGACACTGTTCTAAAAACTGGGGATAAAAATGCAAGTGAAAGGAAAGATAATCCCTGCCCTCAAGATTCTTAAATTCTAATGGTGGAAGATAACACATGAAAAGAAGCTGAAAAACCAGGGAAGAGGAGTGGTGGTAGAGTCCAGACAATGAAAGACGTCTAGTCTTCAAAATGGGGGTTCCAACAATGGGAGAAGGCAGCTGAGGCATGGTGGTGAAGTCTGGATAATGAAGAGATTTCTTCATAGTGGTTTTTGTTAGATGCTTTTGGTATTGAATGATTTAGCTTATTGAAATAATTGATTCTGTGGCTTGGTTAAAACCAGCATTGGTATAGAGCAGGCATGCACAACCTGCGGCCCGCCAAAGGACATCCTCTACATTTTTTGCAGGCCACCCAAAATCTTTTGGTGGGCCACAGGTTGTGCAGGCCTGGTATAGAGCTATATTTCAGGATTCTGTTGTGATGATCTATCAGCAAACATTTATTAAACATCTTTTGTTTGCCTAGTACTGTACTAGATACTTAGGGGAGAGCACTGGAGCTAATCGTTTTATATTTTGCTGGAGATAAAATAATCAAGTGAAATAACTAACATAAGACAGTATATAATAACTTATGATAAAGTTCTAAGTTTTATTTCCACAGACTTGTTGAAATCTTGCCCATCCTTGAAGACCTGACTTACATATCTTTTACTCTGTGAAACTTTTTTTTGATCTCTCCCAATCAAAAATCATTTTCTCTTTCTCAGACATTTATAACTAGCTTTCTGTACCTTTCTTATGTCCTTATCATATGCTTTTCTGCATTATAATTACATGTGGGTCATATCCTCCATTGGAATTTAAGTTGCATAAAAATAGGGGCTGTCTTAATCATATGTTCACATCTTTGCTCAGGGCCAGTACGGTGCTTTGTGCATAGATAGGGGGAGAATAATGTACACAAGTGTAGTACAAGGAAAACTGAGAGAACTAAAATGAGGGATGTGGGTATTGTTTAATGGAGGAAGAAGTTCCAAGCCAGATTCTTTCTATTTCACTTTGCTCTCTGGTTCTAAGACATCTGGACAGTTTTCTTTTAAGATTTCTTGAAGCCTAATGTCTGTCCTTTATTTTGGTTGTAGCTTTCAGGTAGTCCAGTAATTCTTAAATTTTTTTCTCCTTGAGCTGTTTTTTAGATCAGTTGTTTTTGCTATGAGATGACTTAGCTTTCCTTTCATTTTTTCAGTCTTTTGCCTTTGTTTTAATTTTTTTTTTTCTCATGGAATCATTGGCTTCTTTTTGGTCCATTCTAATTTTCAGGGAATTTGTGGCTCCAACAAGGTTTTGTTCCTCTAAACTGTTATTTTCCTTCCCAGTTCTTTCTTCCATGATAAATTTCTTTTCTAGATTTTTCCTCTAGCAATCTCTTATCATTTATAAAAATATTCTTTAACTCTTAACTCTTGCTTTATGTCTTCCAGGAATTCAGGATGAATATGTGCCCAAGCTAAGTTTTTCATTGAGACTTTACTTGTAGATGTTTTGGAGTCATTCTTTTCTTCTGGATTTTGAGTGTAGTTCTTGAGCATCCTTTCACCATAATAGCATTTTATCATGGGACTTTAAAAATTCTTGTTTGTTCTTTATTACTTTCTGACTTTGGACTTGACATTAGGGCTAGGCTCTGAGTACTTCCTGAGGAAAGGTCTGAGCTGGTCTTGTTGCTGCTTTCATAAGTGTATTGAGTGTTGTGTTATTCCAGGTTTTCAGGGCCAGCCCAAGCTGGAGACCAAGAAGCTTTCAGTGCTTCCGGCATGGTCTGATGTAGCACAAAGTCTGATGACTAATCCACTGATTTGGAGCTTTGAAGGTTTCTAGCTTGGATTTGATTCTGAGCAACAGAAGAGTCTTTTAGGACTCAGCCACTATTAGTTAGCTGGCAAACTCTGATAGTTCAGAAAGACAAGTACGAGTTTCCTTTGTGTCTGGGATTCCTGCCTTGACTATTTCTAGTCATGCTTTAGATTGGAATGGAAGCTGGAACTGAAATCCTGTTCCACTCCCGGGGTCTGAGCCACATATCTACTGCTTACTTCTGAACGTCCTTCTTGTGCAGTGTGCGATTCAGAACCTGTGACTGCTTCTCACCTCAGAATGCCACTCTACCCTAAATCAGTGACCCAGAATTGGGCAACAGAGTTTCCAGCTGGCATCTGTTCCCACACCCTGTTGTGCCCCAGTACAGATCTGGAATGTCCTCATGTTCTGGTGCACAATGTCTTCTTTGCATTGGAGTGTTTTGTACTGTGTGCTCCTGGCCATATTCCATCCTCTCACGATCAACAGGCATCACTGTCTGTCTCCCTCTCCAGACTTGAGTTGAAAAAATGATTCACTGTGACTTTCTTAGATTTCCTAGTCAAAATTTGGTCTATTGCCTTTTCTAGGTCTTTTTGGAGGAGTTTTCCAGGTGGTGGAGCTTACTGTGCTTGCTTCTCTACTCTTCCATCTTGACTCCATCTCAGCTTCACCCCTCCCCTATAGGATTGCACTCAACTTCCTAAAGTAATTAGGTATTCTTAGTTATAAACCCATATTTTTTGCCTTTTGGAATATTGTATTTCAAGATCCCCTCTCAAGTCCTTTGTCATCCTTATTGGTTTCTTGGGACTTGAACTGCTTGAAGTTTGGAGTATTTTATTTTTTAATGTGGAAGCTCTAGATTTTGTTTTTTTCTTTTGGAGTTCCTTTCAGGAGCTGATCATTGGATTCTTTCTATCTTTGTCCTCAGGTTTTAAAAGATCTTGGTAATTTTTATTTGTGATGTTTTGATATGGATATCTGGACTCTGTACTCTTATTTAAAAATGATTGTTTTTGGGGAAATCTAATGATTCTTAAATGTCTTGACCTATTTTTCATGGCAGTTGCTTTTGAATGAAGATTTTGTCTTACGTTTCCAATCTTTTGATTTTGTTGTAATATTTCTTGGCTCATGGAGTCTTTGATTTCTGTTTAGTCTTTTTTTGGGGGGGGGCGGTTCAGGGCTTCTGTTATTTGGTGAGGTTTACTATTTTATGTTCTGTGCTATTTGTTTGTCCAGTCCTTTTTTCCAGAGCTTTTATTTCATTAAAAAAAATCTTTTGCTTAATTTAATTTAGGAATTCAGGTAGTGTTTGTGGAAAAGCATTTTTTTTGCCTTTGAGTTGTAGCTTGTAGTGATTGAGTTACTCTCTTCTTCTATGTTGAATATTTGGACATTTCTAGACCTATAAGGGTGCTTCTTAGTGGTCACTCTCTATAATTTACCCATCTTGCCAGCTGTAAGTTCTTGAACGTAGGCTTTGTGGCAAAGACAGGCTCTGCCTCCCTGTACTTTTAGGTGGATTATTGGCCATGATTGATTGACAGCTGGGTTACTTGGATTTCTGACTTTTGCAACCCAGGGTTAACACTTCCTGTTCCTCCCTCTAGGTTCTTGAGGTTCACAGTGCTAGATATCAAGGCCCTTTAAATCATCTCTGCACGGTAAACTAGGGACCCTGGAGCTCTGGATCCAGGTTGTTGCCCTAACCAAATTGGTCACCAGCATTGCCAGTTTCTTCCAAAGACCTTGCTGTGGGTTTACAATCTCCTTGGTGTTTTCTCTGAAGATCCCTCTACTCTTCCTGTCCCAAATACAGAGTCTTTTGTTTAAACATGTTTAAACATAGTAATTCCACCCTGGTCATGCTGTGAGGTTGATGATTTATTTGCTTGTATTGACTTTGATTGTGGCTCCCTTCACTATTGCCCATAGGCTTTTGAGTTACTTTTTGTCCAGTTCTGTGGTAGGTAGAACTCACCGTAATTTCTTATTGGATTTCTTGATCATTGTTCTTCTCTCTGGTTATCTGTGATACTGTATCATATTTCTCTACTTATACCTTCTCTAATTTCTTTTCCTCTTTTTTCCTCCTTATTCCTCCCTACAGTTTTTCCCCCTTAGTACTTATTCCATTAGTAGAAGCTTGTGAGTGATACAAACCTTTTGTCTTCATAGGTAAAAATTTAGTATTATTTCTTTGTTATTATGGACTACTGAAAACAGTAGCAAGTTTGACCTTAGAAGACTTTGGATTGAATTCTATCTCTGATATAGGGTGATTACTTTCCCTGAATCTCTGTTTTCTCATATGTTAAATGGAGATCTGTTAAATAAACCTGTTAACTGTTTGTAATACTTAGCTCATATAGTTCCTCAAAGCATTTTACAAACTGAAATGCTGTATAAGTGTGTTAAATATAATTATTTGTCTGTGAAGAAAGTCCTACTCTGATGCTTCATCATGATTTGAAGGCCAGTAGAGTATGAGGTCTACCCTGCCAGTAAAGCTGTTTTAGGACTTCTGTAGATAAGTAATGAGATGCTCATTACCATCTACCTTGGTCAGTAGGTGGTGAGTTCTTTGGTTGTGACAACTAATGAAACAAAAAATACAAAATGGTCATCATTTTGTACAGTCCACTCTATTTTACAAAGATGAGGAAGAGTATGCTGAAGATTAAAAAAATCCCCACAATTTTAGCTAATTTGTAAATATTAATTTAGTTGTCATATGATAAAGATTGGTGATACCAATGCTTGGTAATGTAAAGAATTTTAAGTGCAACAGGCAAATAGCCATTTCAACAAAATTTTAGCCTCTGCTTTAACCTTTTGGCATATTCTGGGGATGTGAAATATCTGATGTTAACTGGTTTCCCAGTGGCTTAATGTCATCTGGCCTTTTGGACAGGCATCAAGAGTTCACAAAACCATTGAGGCATACAATTGTACATCTTTACCATAGCTTTTTAAGTCCTGAGTGACAGTATTCTCCAAAGTCCACAACACAGGCAATGCTCTTTTCATAAAATCTGTCCTCTGTATATAAACCTCCATTCTCTCTTTTCTTCCTTTTTTTCCTCCTATTTGATCCAACCAAAATGTTTTTTTTCTTGAATTCATTGCTTTTAATTTTCTTTATTAATTTAAAAAGCAAATGAATTGATCATTGATTTTTTTTTCTAAATAGTTTTTTTTAACCTATATGGCCTTTATTAGATATTTTCCCACTTTTGGGTTACTGGCTTTTGTTTAGAAAGAGAGATTCCACATCCGGTATAGATATACAGCATTAATATTATTGCAGAATTTGTGACTTTTCAGGACATTGCTAAGGGCCTGCAGTGATTTGTATTTGTTATTGGTTATTTTGTTAAAATTTTGGAAAGTATTTTGAGGAATCATTTCACTTGAATCAGTGATCAAATACTATATCAAGTGTTAAGTTGTAGTATGTGAGTACTGTCAAATGAATGTTATAGCAGGCCTTTGAAAAATTATTAGGTTATGTGAGGAGAGAAAGGAGGGAAATTTTTAGATGAAAGGTATCACATATAAATATGCAAGTAAAAATGCCTTGTATAGATGAGGGACACTAAAGAGATCAGCATAATTAAAGTAGATGTTTCTGTTAGGGTATACTGAGAAATAAGAATTGAACCAGTATTTGAAGGACCTTGAATACCAGCATAGAAAGTTGACCATAATGCTATGGACCCGTGTGCTAGGGAGTCATTTAAGGGTTTTGAGCAGGGGAGTGACATAAAGAAAAGAATTTCAAGAAGATAAATCTGGTGGCATTGGGCAGGGTGAATCAGTGACGTCAATTCAAGGATTATTTTAAATAATCCAGTTGTGAAATGATAAGGACCCTCTATTAGAATGGTGGAAAAAAAAGTATGGACCTAGGAATCTGCTTTAAATAGAAAATAGAATCAGTGATGTGACCTTTCCTTAAAAGGTTAGAACTCTGTGTAGTAGTTTTGACTAGGTAGTTTGGACTTAGGTAGTTATGGTTTCAAATTCTTTCCTAATAATAACATGGGATATAAATTAGTTTGTCCTGTTTTTATAAATCTGTCACCCAAATTCACTAATAGACATTCATTTATAATACTTAATATAAATGCCATATAATTACATATTTTTTCTTCCATACATTTCATTCCTTATATTTCAGTCTGATTTGAAATTTACATTTTTCTGATTTAGAACCTTTTAGAAAAATCAATTGAAAGGGAAACTCGCCAAGAATATGCCCTGGCTATGATTCAGTGCAAAGTTCTGAAACAGTTGGAGAACTTGGAGCAGCAAAAGTATGATGATGAAGATATAAGTGAAGATATAAAGTTTCTTTTGGACAAACTTGGTGAAAGTGTCCAGGATCTTAGGTATGTTGTAGCATGACTTAATTTGAATAAATTTATTATAAGTTTTTGAGTTAAGTGTACACGTAGGAATGCATATATTTTAGGCAAATTGGGGAGATTAGTATTGAATAATTGTATTTTAAAATAGAATTAGACAAAGATTCAACCCTTTTCTTCCTTCACCCCCAAATATAATTTAGTAGACATGTTAAAATGTAACGCTATGGTGGGTTACCAAACTAGGAGTATAATCTCTTGGAGATTGTAATTTGGTAAGGGAGGTTGGTGATGAGACACATATGTAGATATAATACTTAGTAATAAAGGCATTATGAAGATATAAAAGCAAAGTTTATATAATGTTTCAAGAGGAAAAGATTATTTCTGACTAAGGGATAGGAGGGAGTCAGGGTATAAGATTTTGAAAGGCAAGTATCATTTTATAATTGAGTAAGAATTTATTTAGGAAGACAGTGGAGTAGGTAAGAAAACTCTAGGATCTCCAAATTTCTTCCACACACAAAAAAGAACATCACCTTAAAGTGAAAGTAGAGTGGCAGAGATAAATAAAAGTCATGGTAAAACAGTTGTCCTTCTAAGATGACTTGAAACAAGGTAGTAACAAGATTGCCCCACTTGTGATTCCTGAATATTTTTGCTTTCTTGCATTTAAAAAAATGTTTTATTGATACTCTTTTTGGAGGACCATCTTTGTCACTACTCATTAATTCATCTCCCAACCCCAACCAAAGAGAAGCCCTCCTTTTTAACAAGTACGTATAGTCAGACAAAACATATCCATCCACACTTTGACTGTATCTAAAATGTTGTATCTCTTTCTGCATCTCTTATCCCTTATCTCTTTGCCAAGAGATAGGAGGCATGCTTTGTTATCAATATTCTGAAGTCATGACTGGTCATAGAATTGGTCAGATTTCTCAAGTCTTTTATAGCTATAATACTCTGATCATCATGGAAATCATTGTCCTTGTCCTGGTATTGCCCATTTTGGCCTGCATCAGTTCATATAAGTTCCTGAGCATCTCTGAATCCATCATAATTATTATTTTTTATGGCATAAAAACAATTACATTCATATACCACAATCTGTTCACACATGCCCCTACTATTAATGGGCACCAGTTTATTCTTTGCTGTAACAAAAAGTGCTAGTACAAATATTTTTGTACATGTGGATCCTTTCCTTTTCTTGGAACTTTCTGGTGTATGTACATAGTAGTGGTATGTGGTTTTCCCAAATGGTTCGACCATTTACAGTTCCAGCAATAGTGCTTTAGTAATATGTCTGTCCTCTGATAGGCCCTCCAGTTATTGTTGTTTTTACTTTTTGTCAAATTTATTTTGTGGGACAGAATTTTAGTTTTAATTCACGTTTCTCTTGTTAAGATGGCTTTTCTTTTTTAAAATGTGGAGGTCTATGACTTGCATTTCTTCATTTGAAAATGGCCTGTTTCCTTTAACTATTTATCAACTAGTGAATGACTCTTGTTCTGATATATTTATATTGATTCTCCATATATATTAGTTGTCAGACCTTTTTCAGACAAATTTATTGCAGAGATTTTATCCCATTTAACAGATTCTATATACATTCTTACTGTATTAGTTTAACTTGTGCAAAAGTTTTTAGTTTTAATTAAAAAAAAATCCATTTATCTTGACATGTCATCTAACCCTTATTTAGTTAAGAATTCTGTCCCTAGGCATAGTTGTGAAAGAGCTTTCCTCTTTATTTATGATAGGACATTTTACATTTTGATCTTATTTCAATTTTGTGGGTTTTTTTCCCCCATGTTTTCAAAATATGTTGCTGTGTTCTGTTGTTTTTGGATTTTGTTTACTTAATCTGTTCTATCAATCAACTTTTAAATTTCTTGACCAGTACCAGTTTCAGTGGTCACTGTATTATAGAATAGTTTGAGATTTTATACTCCTAGATCCCTATCATTCTTACTTTTTTTTCCCATTATTTTTGAGATTCTTGATCTTTTGTTTCTTTGGATAATTTTTGTTATGATTTTCAAGTAAGCCTTTCATGGTTTGGTATGGCAACAAATTTATGAATTGGTTTAGTGATATTTTTGTTGGCATAGCCCAAAGATGAACAATAAATATTTTTCCCATTATTTAAGTCTTCCTCTGTATTTCCACAAAGAGTGTTTTATAGTTTTATTCATATAAGCACTAAGTACCATGGTAGATTGATTCCCAGATACTTTATATATTTGTAGTTACTTTGAAAATTATTTTTATATATTCTTTTATTTGGTCTTGTTAGCAATATATAGAAAGGCTGATAGTTTTGTGAGTTTATTTTTATAATACTGCTAATTTACTGAAGTTTTTTTTTGTTGATTTTTAGTGTTCTCTCAGTAAGCAATCCTATCATCCACAAAGAACAATACTTTTGTTTATCAATTGCTTATATTTTATTTCTCAATTTGTTTTTCTTGTCTTTTTGCTGTAGCTTTCAAATAATTTAGTAGTAACTATGGTCATTACTGCTTTAGGGGAAGGGAATAAGTATTTACATAGTACCTACTGTGTGCCAGGCACTGGGCTAAGCACTTAAAAAAAATCTCATTAGATTCTTACAACCAACCCTTGGAGGTGGGTGCTACTATTATCCCCACTTTGCAGTTGAGGAAACTGAGACAAACAGAGTTTAAGTTACTTGTCCAGGGTCACAGCTGGTAAGTGCCTGAGGTCAGATTTGAACTTAGTTTTTCCTGACTAGACTTAGTGCTCTAACTAATGTGCTATCACTTTGCTACAAGCTGCTTCTTTAATTCTGTTCCTGTTGTTCCTTTAACCTTATTCTTAACGGAATGACATCTACAGATGATGCCAGCTTTTGGATTTACGTACTTTTTACTATATTAAAGAAAAGTGTGGTTAGTTCTATGATTCTTAGTATTTTTTAGTATAAATTAGTTGTATTTTGTTTGAAGATTTTTTTTCTGATATAACCATGTGATTTTTATAGTAGTTGTCATTAACATGGCCTGTTGTTTGTAGTTTTCCTAATGTTGACAAGCCCCATATTCCCTATATAAATCTGACCAGCACATGTATAATAGTAGCCTTTTGAATCTGTTGTTATAACTTCTTTGATAGTATTTTGTTCAATGTTTTTGTATCAATAGTCATTAGAGATTCTGGTCTGTAGTTCTTTTCTTTATCACTTCCTGGTTTGGACCTCAGTATCGTATTTGTCTTTTAGAAGAAATTTGTTAGAATTCCTTCTTTATCTCTTTGGTTAATAATTTTTCTAATGTTGAAGTTAGGGCATTGGACTTCGTAGTCAGGAAAACCTGAGTTGGTTCAGATCTCTTCTCAGATACTGTGTGACCCTGAGGAAATCACTTAACCACTCCATGCTTGTTTCCTTACTTGTAAAATGAGATCTCTTTCAGATCTAAATTTATGATACTTTTTCCTTCCCTTTTAAAAACTCTTAAAAAAAAAAAAGCAAAACAAAACAGCAAAACCACACCCAGGTCCAGAGTTTTTCTTTCTTTGATCCTTGAAGACCATGTGATTCTGAGCAGATAGTTGTCTTGTGTCCTCCCCCTATTAAGTGTTCAATATTTGATCATCATTTAACCCCTTAATGTCCAACTAGATGTGCTATTCTGGGCTTCTCATGATTCCTGTGTTTATGTTTCAGAGATCATACCCGGAATCAGTCTTCGCTTCTGGAATACTTGAAAGTATTCTGTGAAAAGTGCATTTTTTCCACTATAGAATTTTATTCACTTTTTTGGGATATGTTGCTCTTGGATGTAAGCCTTTTTTTTTCTTTTATCTTTTTGTATAAGATATTACAAGTTTTTATTTTATTGTGATTGTTGGGTATAGCCCCAACCAGATTTGGGTATCAACTCCTGTAGTTTTGGGCAGACTGGAAGAAATCACTGATTTTTGTCTTTGGTTTTATATTAAATCTTTTTATCATCTGATACTCTTATTTGTTGTATCTGAGCCCTGGGCCTGGTTTGCCAAGAAGTCCTCATAACACACATTTTCCTTAATACTTACTAAGGTAAAGATGACAATGCTCACCAAATTTCTTTGAAACTGTTTTTTTTCTGATATCATTAGATCTGAAATACAGGAACATGTGCTTATGTACCCTAGTCCTTTAACTGATGACTGTCCTGGTGATAAATAGAAAAGTTGGTTCTCTTTCTCCCCTTTCCTGATTCATTTACTTTCTTTGGAACTAAACGTCAGTTACTTCCTACAGTGCAGTTTGGGGATAGCATGGAGACATAAGTGATATTTTGTTCAGAACAGTTGAAGATTTTAAAAACCATCCACTTCTAACAACTAATTATTATTTTTAAACCAAAGGGCTTAGTGCCTAAAGACATTGTTTAAGTTCTGAATTCATGGCAAAAATGTAAGTTAACAATATTGGCATTCATGTTTTTTTATTTATGATCATAGAAATTTTAGAGGTGAAAGGGGCCTAGTAAGTTATTTAGTTCAGCTTGTTACTTTTTTCATGAATTCCCTGTACAACATTGCAGATAAATGGTCTTCCAGTTTTTGCTTGAATACCTGTAGTAGTAGGAGACTCAGTGTCTCACAAAATACCCCATTCCATTTTCAAACATTCTTAATTGTTAGGAAGTTCTTTCTGTCACTGAACCAAAATTTATCTTTTTGTAACTTCTATCTATTCATCCTTCGTCTGCATTGTGGACTTAATATAGATTTAGTCTAATCTCCCCACTAATTGACAGGTATTATGCTCTCCCTCCCCTTCCCCAGCTAAGTTGTCGTTTTTTTTAGGTTAAAACACTACTTTGTAAGTGAATCGGAGGTCCTTTTACTATCCAGTACACTTCTCCCTAAATATCCTTCAGCTTATGAATATAAAATATGAAATTTGTCTGAGTAGTGCAAAGTGAGACTATTAACTCTCTTATTTTGGGTACTGTACTTCTATTAATGCAGTATGAGATTCTCTTTCTCCCCCCCCCCTTTTGGGTGTGCAGACCTGTCATTTTATTAATAGGTAGTAGTTCTCAAGACCACCCTTTGACCACCCTTCAAGGGTATCTGTGAAGCCAACGCTATTTTCATAATAATACTAATAGGTTTTAATTTTTAATATGATAAATAGATTTAGATACAACCTACATAAACAAAAACTCTTTGGGATTCCTCAGTAATTTTTGTGTGTGTAATGGGGTCCTGAGACCAAAAAAGTTTGAGGACTGTTGGCATAGGGAAATCTGGTTGAGAAACTCCCTTAGTTGACTTATCTACTCAGTTGCCAGTTATAGCCCGAGAGTTTTGCCTGGAGCCACTGAGAAGTTCAGTGACTTTCTCATGGTCACATGGTCACAGTTATGTGTCAGAGTCAAGATTCCAACCTAGGTGTTCTTGTCTCAAAGCCCAGGCTTCCTTCTACACTGTTAACCTTAGGAGCCCATTAATCCCTCCTCTTCGTCTCACCTGGTCAGGGAGGGTTGGGGGTCGGGTGAGTACAGAAAAGGATGGCGATTTGAGGGTGGAGAAGCAGCAACACTATAAAGATGCCTTACTGAGTTTTTTTGTCACCTAAAACTCTTCAGTTATTTTTCTCAACACATTAATTGCTTTCTAGTCCTCATTTCATTCTATATTCTTGTACTAGATTCTTTGTACCAATGTTCAGGGCTTATATTTATCCTGTTACAATTCCTGTTTAGAGACACAGAATTTCAAAGTTGGAAGGGACTAGAGAGATTACCTAATCTAACCTTTTTCTGAATAAGAATGCCTTTTATAACATACACAAAGCTTCAAAGCTTAAACTTCCAAGATAGCCCTTTCCACCACTGGATAGTTTTAATTTTAAGCAAAGTTTTCCGCGTATCAAGTCTGAATACTTTTCTTTGAAACTTTTACCCACTGTTCTTAGTTCTTGCCTTCTGTGGGCTAAGCAGAGCAAAGCCACTCCTTCTGCTGACAGTTCCTTAGGGATAATCACATTTTTATGACTACCTAAAGATGTAAATATTTACTTGATAATCTGTCCAAGAATTTTACTGGGGACTTCTATCAAGTCCATTGGTTTATAGTTTTTGGAATTTATCATTTTCCCCTATCAAAATTGGGGCATTTGCTCATCTCCAGTCTTCTGGAATGTCTTCATTATTGACAGGTTTTTAAAGGTGTTTCCTTCTGGTTTCATGATGAAAAATTGAAAATATGTATATTTTTCCCCCAGCATCTTTGATTCTTGGATTTAGAAAAGCAGATGCAATTTCCTGGACTGCAAGATTTGAACTTGCTTGCTTTTGTGCCCTAGCTCTCCTATTCTCCCTTAACCATATTTGTTCTACCTTTTCCAGTAAAAATATGGTTCTTTGTAATTAAGAAGACAGAAGCAAAAGAGATATTTGAAAAGTTTGGCTTTGCCTCTTACATCATCTTTATCAGTTGCTTTTCCCTTCCTAATTTTTCCTTCTTGTAGTAGTAAGAACTTTTTTTTAAAGCACTTTTTATTTACTTTTTCTTTTCACAAGTCTGTTCTCATTTATATCCTTCTGACACTTTTCTTATTGACCCATTCCACTCTTTCATTTTTTCTTGGTTATGTGACCCCTGTTTCTGTATTTTATATATGACCTTCAAAAACTCAGGCTCGTCAGAGAGCTCCCTGTTAAGTTATATTCATCCTGTTATGTGGCTCCCCATTTCCTTCATCCTTCATAAACATTTAATTTTTGAGAGATTTTACTTTCTTTTTAGAGCCCTTGACCATAGGATCAAGACTATCTTTTATTTAAACTTTTGAAATCTGCCTCCTAATTTTTAGGGCATATTTTTATATTCAGAGTTTCACCCCTTGTCTGTCACAAACTTTAATTATAAAAGTTTACTCGGTAGGTTCCATTTGCATCGTCTTCCAACAGTCATTTCTTTCTTGGTTATCTGGATTCAATTTGAGATTCTTTTCAATGTATCCTCTATCTATGAACTTCTCAAATTATCAGAAAGATACTCTATAAATTTATCTGTCACTCTGTATTTAGCAGAAGAGACTTCAACTAGTTGTTTGGATAGTTGAGAAATTCTTCTTTAACTACTTTATCTTACATCTACCAGTTTTCCTGCTTATGTCACACAGCTATATAATTTTCTATTTCTGATGCATGATAAATACTGAATGAGTGTTTGTTGACTGACTACCTGTTCCTTGCCTTCAATTTTCAACCAAATGTTCTGCACTGTGCCTTCCCTTTCATGTTCATGTATTTAAAAGGTATTTGTGCTTCACATAATAGGGCTACTTCACCTTTCCTTCAATTAGATTTCATTGAATCCCAGAATATCATTTAGGTCTAGTCATCTAGTTAAAAATATAACAAAAATTCTTTCTATAACGTCTCCAAGAGGAAGTCATATAACCTCTACTGGACCTCCAGAGATGGGGAAATTCCCTCACTATCAAGGTAGCCCATTCCACTTTTGTCAAGTGCTACTTATAAGGAAACTTTTTCTTTTAATAGAACTGAAATCTGCCTGTGGAATTTCTTCCCTTTGTTCCTAGTTCTGCTCCTGGTGTTTAGTTTTTTTTTTTTTTGAACAAAACTTAACTTGGGTCCTCTTACAAAGGATAAGCCTTCAAATAGTTGAAAATAGTTATCTTTGTTCTTTTTAAATGACAGGTATATTTTTTCCTCCGATATATTCTAATTATGAATCCTGTGTCATCAAGTCTCACTTATACTTGTGAAGTCATATATACACCCCTCTACCTCCTACTGTTACATAATTTTGTTTACTTAGTCTGTATTCTTATAAAGAATTGAAAGACAGAAATCGATTTTGAGGGTGATCTGCTTCATACCATGCATTTTAGCTTGACTGTAACATTCCATCCTTACGATTAGGTTTTACAGTGCGAAAAGCATCAGATTTGAGGACAGAGGACATGAGGTTGTGTGCCAGCTCTGTCTCTTAATACCTCTTTTGACTTTTCTTTGGGTCTGAGTTTTCCCATCTTTAAATGAAGAATGTAGATGACCTCTGAGGTCCCTTTTGGATCTAAATCTATGAGCCTCTTGTCTCTTCCAGTTCTGCTGTCTCGTGACTTCACATACTTACTCATGTGTGGTGCCATACTGTCCTGATAGTGAATTTTACTTAAACTTCGTAAAAGATGCTATGAAAGTTTTATTACATTTCAGTGTTAGTAGTTTTCTTATTTTTGATATAATTATATCTCATTTAAAGTTCAGAATATTTGAATTTATATTACTAGGGGTAATGGGAAAACCTTTTGGCTCAGACTGTGAATTATTAGAGACTTAACTTTTTAAATTTTTTTAAAAAATATTTTTATAGCTCATTTGATGAATACAGTTCAGAACTCAAATCGGGAAGGCTGGAATGGAGCCCTGTTCACAAATCAGAGAAATTTTGGAGGGAGAATGCTGCGAGGTTAAATGAAAAGAACTATGAGCTGTTGAAGTAAGTTGTTATCTATTAAAAAAAATTTGACCTTGAAGAATTATACTTCATATTTAGATTCTTTAGATTGCAATGAATTGGTGTTTCTTTAAATGTTTTAAATTAGCCAGCATTTATTAAGTACCTACTGTATTCTAGACCCTGGAAATACAAATACAAAAGTGAGACAGTTAATTACATTCTACTGGAGTGAAGGACATGGCATGGTCACAGATAAAAACAGGATATGTGCTAAGTATGTGCTACCTTTTGGCCAGAGGACTTGACTCATGGATCTAGGTTCATTTTGGGAGGACTTTGATGTACATACTTCTAATAGCACCTGATGGCACTTAAAAAAATCTTTTATATTTATATATGTTAAATATTTTTAAATGACTTACTTCTTCAAGATCACATATATGCTAATGGACAATGATGACTAAAGTTATCAGCAGTTTAAACTAAAGTTTATATTGATTTAATTTTATTTCTTTAATGAAGATTTCTCAAGCCCTCCTTGTATGATAAAAATTGCAATTATCAATAATCATTTACCATGCAACATATTTGACTGGAGGGTATGTGCCAAGAACTTAGGATATAGAGAAATGTAGCTTCTGCAGATACAATTTTTGTTTCATGTATGTATGTATGTAAGATTACAAAAAAGGCTAGGGGCAATAAAAGGAAAAAATTCTTAAGTTTTGTATTATAATTATTTATTCATATATATGAATATGCAAGTAAGCTTCTTGAGGACAGAAACTGTATCTTATTTTGTCTTTGTAGCCCTAATTATGTTTCACGGGGCCTTGTAAGTAATATGTACTTAATAAATGTTGATTGATTTTAAATCAGTTATTTTGATTTAATTAATTAAATTAAATTTTGATTTTGATAAACTAAGTATTTTCTGACGTTTGAACTACTTTTGCTATTAATCTATTTAAAGGTGTTGTTTATTTTGGACACAGTTTTAATATGGTGTTATTGGTATATTATGTTTAATTTCAAGTGTCACTTTTTAAAGAAAAGACAGTTCATGAACATATTGGAAAGCACTTTTGTGTAGTGGATCTAGTGTTGATTTGGGAACTGGAAGAGCTCTATTCAGTAATGTCCCTGACGCTTACTAGCTATACGACAGTAAGCAATTTCTGAGACTCAGTTTCCTCATTTGAAAAATGAGTCTAATACTCCTTGCAATTCCTACCTTATTAGGGTGGTTGTGAGGCTCAAATAAGGCTCAAATAAGATAATAAATGTTTAAGGCTTCATACATACATATGTTGGTTGTTGCGTTTTTTTTTGTATAATTAAAAATAACGGTACTAATTTCAAAGGATAGTGAATAAAGTGGTGGGTCAGGAAGACCTAGGTTCAAATCCTGCCTCAGATACTTGATAACTGTGTGAGCCTGGGCAAATCACTTAACCTCTGTTTGCCTTAATCCACCAGAGAAGGAAATAGCAGACCATTCCAGTATCCTTGCTAAGAAAACCCCATGGACAATGTGGTCCACAGGGTCATGAAGAATCTGACACGACTAAACAATTGAACAACAAATTTGACATAATTCTTGAAATAATGCATTATAGAATCAATTTTTAACTTATTTTTTAGATAAACCTTTAGGCTTCCTGGAGATGAGAGAGAAGTGTTCAAAGCCGCTGTCTGTAGGAATCAAATACTTCCTTACCTGCCATGGGATCCCCCTCCTCTCCACCTTGCTACATGTGATGCCCTCTTAGCTGGAAGGGAATGAAAAAGCAGATACAACACTTACTATATGCCAAGTACTTAAGTACTAGAGATGTAAACAGAAAAATCAAGACAGTCACTATTCTTGTGAGATAATACATAAAAGATGGCTCAGTTTTATGGCCTGATGATACCTAGGTTTCTGGCAAGTAGCAGGTGAAATGGCAAGTCCCTAAGGACCTTGGGCAGCAAAGATAGAGCAGATGATCTTTAAGGAATGGGATAGTGGGTTCAAAGTCAGAGTGCAGTGGGACTCTGGATTGCCTCTGGCAGAACTGGGCATTGTTTTGGAGTACAGTGTCTAGTGCCTGGTGGGATCCAAGGAGTGTAACAATGGGGGTTGGGTTGGGGAAGGAGAAGATCCATGGCCACCCTAGTTAGTGGTGGTGCTGATCCCAGTAGTTGGGTTACCTGTTTGCATGCTGGTTTTAGCAATATTTGGGAAAAGCACCAAGCATGTACTGGTTTGCAGGCATTTTCCTGTATGGGCCCAAAGTTAATATTCTCACATATAACTCTTATACAATTTTAATTGCTCCTGAGGTTCTGGAGTTTTATCTCCCTAATTGTTAACATTTTTTATTCAGGCTGAGTCTGAAATGTATGTATTTTCTTTTGGCATAGAATCCATAAGTATATTCATAGTTTTATAAGCATGTATGTAGAACCTCATTTCACTACTATCCGTGTGAGTACTATTGAATGACAGATAGGTGTATACTTACTGTGGAAATCAAAAAAGAATAATGCTATGTGTATAATTGTTTTCTGTAGTCAAAGGTCTGAAGTTGGGATTATTATTTCTGTGGGCATTTGCTTAGTGTAGTTACCAAGCCAAATTTTCAGGTCACAAGATGAGCTAGTAACTGCATATTTCATGTTCTGCCTTTACCTAATCAAAAATATACCAGAACCAGTAATAAATCATTAGGCAATAAATTCCTAATTTTAAAAAAAAGATGTTTTAGACCTTTCAGAGATAAAAAAAATGTCTCAGCCCATTGAAAGTGATATTTTTGGACACCATTAAGAATTATTCACTAAGCTATCAATAGTGTCAACTTCCTAAGTCATCTTTATTCATAAAAGACTTCATAGCAAGCTTGTGTTTCTTTTTGGTACATAATGAAAATATTACCTTGTACTTTTGACATTTATTAAAGACAAGGTTCTGCTCGCTAAGTTTTGCATTTACTTATCAGTCTATCCCTCTTTTTGACCCCTTCCCTTAATTTGACAGACAAGTATCTGAGTAATGTTAAATATTTATCCAACTTAATATTGCTTACTTGTTAGTACAAAAGACCTTAAAACAAGAGCCCCAGTTTTGCAAAACAGAGACATTAAGAGGCAGTATGGTATAGTAGATAGAAAACCGCTCTTGGAACCAGGAAGATCTGGGTTCAAGGCCCGTCTCTGCCAGAAGTGTGGCAGAATCTGGACTTAGACCAGTATTTTGTACCATTTACCAAGCTAAACTCTAAATGGATATGTGACTCATTCATAAAGATTGATTTCATAGAGGACAAAGGAAGGAATTATTTTACATATCTGCGGATAGATATGACCAGTCAAGGGATAGAGAATATCATAGAAGATAAAATAGACAATTTTGGTTAATAAAATTTAGAAGTTTTTGTACAGCCTAAACCAATACAGCTAAAATGATAATGGAAACAGAAAATTGGTGGTGAAGAGAAATCTGTGTAGCAAGTTTCTTTGATAATGGTCTCATTTTCATGATATACAAAGAATAGGTTAAAATTTATAAAAAGAAGAGACATTTCTCAAACGATAAATGGTCAAAGGATATAAAAAGGCAGCTTTCTAAAGAAGCAATCAGATTTTTAATTGAAAAAAAATTTAAAGAGACTACACCAAAATCTTATTCTCCTCTTAGCAATGAGCACCCGTTACTGTTTTAGTAAATAATAATGTTTCATGAAGGCATCCATAAAACTAAGGTAGGTAGGTGATAGTTGGAAGTCTCATCTTATCTTCTACATTAGCACCCATTCCTCTTATCTTCATCAGTGAACATCGGAGGGTAGGGTCCTAATTCTAGTTTCTGTCAGGTACAGGTTTGGGAGGCTATCTCACTCTGGAACCTACTTCCCTGTGTGTAATAATAACAATAACAAACAACGGTAATAGCAATAATACCGACAACAGCAACAATAACAACAATCATATAGTATATTATGGTTTGCAGAGTGCTTTACAAATATTATCTCATTTTATCCTTACATAAATCCTTAGAGGTAAGACAAACAAAGGTTAAGTGACTTATTTAGGTCACACAGCTTGTAAGTGTCAGACAACAGATTTGAACTAAATGTAACTACTACCTATACCACCACTTTTCATTGAACTGTTCTTTAAGAAAAGAGATAAAGCCTTTGCCCTCCATAATCAAGTGAACAGATAACATGCCTTTTCCTTCTAGAACCTCATCCTGGACCAGAGCCTCAGAAAAAAGGCCTGACCAGCGGCCAAGCACATACTCGTGGATGAGGCCTTCTTGATACGGTTGTTGTTATTGTTGAATCATTTCGGTTGTATCCCATTCTTTATGGCCTCTTTTTGCAATTTTCTTGGCAGAGATAATGAAATGGTATGCCATAGCCTTTTCCATCTCATTTTACAGGTGAGAAAACTGAGGCAGACAGGGTTAAGTGACTTGCATAGGGTCATACAGCTAGTAAGTATCTGAGGCTGGATTTGAACTCAGGTTTTCCTGACTCCAGGTCCAGTGCTATATCCACTGTGCCACCTTGCTGCCAGAGCTTATCTTTATATAGACCTCTCTACAGTCAATGCCATCCTAATGTCTGAAGATACCAAGAAATTTGTATTTCTTTATGGGAATCTTCAGGCAAAAATATAGGGGCCTATGGCCACCAACTATTTGTAGTCTTTAAATATGCATATGGTAGCACTGTATAAAGAATATTATCAGTATATTCCTATACCAAAAGGAGATTAGGCACTCTTGCTTGGCTTTTTAAATACCTTTATCCGGTTGAAGACTAATAAATACCAAAACCTTGACAAAGCCCATGGAGTGCCGAGGTACTGGTGCTTCTTAAATACTGAAGAGAAGAGTCTCCTGGGGGCCGAGCCAAGATGGCAGAGAGAAGCCAGGAAGTTGCCTGAACTCTCTCCAGTTTCCCTCAGAAACAGTGTTAAATCAAACCTCTATAAGAATTCTGGAGTGACAGAATACGCAAAAAGATGTAGTGAAACAATTTTCCAGC